CCTAGTTTTATTCAAATCTTGTTTATGAAGTCCTTAAAAAGCTCATTTATTTTGTCTAATTCAAATGAAGTAGATATATAAAGAATTTTTACTAATTTACTATTATTTTAAATATCTAAATACCTTTTCAGATGCACTATACACAAGTTTAAGGAGACTATCTACACCTAATAGATTTTTGCTAAATTTTATTAGTTTTTGGAATCTTCTATATATTTATATATCTTTTTGTTTATTTTATATATATGAGGTTTTCTTTTTGTTTGTTTTTAATTAATCTGTTGTATTGTCACATATTTCTAAAATAGTATATATTTGTTTGATTGTTTGTTGTGTTATCAATTTTCTAGTTATATGTTCTTCTTATTAGAATTTTTAGTATATAAACAATTACCCAGTTTTTCAAAAAACTTTTGACAAACTTTTTATAAAAGTTCTTTCTTTGCTATTAGTTTGTTATTTTGCTAATTGTTGTTCTAAATAAACTATAGCTTCTTTGGTTGCTGAACTTTTTTTTTAGTTTACTAAGAGTTGTTGATTATGTTGTTGCTTAAGTAAAACTTATATTTTTATTTTATTAATTTTTAAAATTGAGAATTAACAGAGAAAGTTTTTAATATTTTTAATAATCTTATTAAAAATATTAATTGTAAAAAAAATATAGCTTTTGTTATAAAATATAAGCAAAGTATATAAATTCTATTAATATTACTTTACTATATTGATTTTCTTCTTGTCTTTTATTATTTAAACTATCTTTTTTTCAACTTTGGCAGTTTTGCTTTATTAAGATTATTTTGTTACAGGCTATACAAAATATTTGAGCTTAATATTTAGACCTGACATCCTGTAGTTACTTCTAAAAGCACTTACAAGTGATCTGCTACACTAGGCAAATAAATCTACAAGAGACATATTATGATAAATTAACAGAAAATTTGAAGATCACCTATCTTAGAATACTATATTAGACTATTGTCTTACAATAGGATATTACCAATCTGATGATATCTTCTTGTAGAAAAGTAAAAAAAAAATACTAACACTAATACTAATACTAAAAAGAGAGAAAGAGAAAGAATAAGAGTAAAAAAATCTGATAGTTACAATTATAAGCCTGTGTTAGGTTAGCAAAAATTACATATTATAAGATAAAGTAGTTCTGTATCTAACTCTGTTCTAATAATATATCTAATTTATATAAAAAAACAAAAATAACAAATTTAAACTAAACTAAACTAAACTAGACAGAATAGTTAAAAGGCACCATTAGTCTCAAAGTATTGTTTAAACAGTTTTTTCAGTTGAAGCATGTCACCTAATTGTGTTGTTCTTTGAATATGCTTAATTGCTTAATCCAGATATCTATTAATTTTATGTTTACTAAAAGTAAACAAACTATTTTGAGAAATAATTAACCCAATTTAGGAGATAAACAATACCAACTGTTTTGAAAAATGATATGTTAATTTTTTGAAGGAATAAACTAAAATGCCCACTTTTTGATAAAATTTCCTCGAAAAAAGTAGTAGGTCAATGAAACTTTGTGGGTTCTTCCTTATAAGTTTTATAGTTGTATAGAAATTATCTCTAGTTTTTTTTAATATGTTTAGTGTTAATCTAGTTATTCTGTGTTCTCAGAATATGTTTCTAGTTTAGATGCTAAATATAATAGAGAAGTCCACCTAACAGAAAAGTTTGATCTCTACAAAAACTATTCAAAGTAGTCTGTGTCTTTGGGACTTCATTGACAACATACCTACTTGCATAAGATCAAGTATATTATTACTCTTTGATATCTTCTATAGTGTTTTTCTGTAGTTTAGTTTTTTGAAGTTGTTGATCAAAGGATCGTCAAAAAGAGTTTTTTTAATATTATCTAACAATATCATTAACTCTATTATTAACTTATTTACTAATTAGTATAATAAAATTATTATTAACTTAGACTTTACTCTTTTATATTCTATTTATAACATATCTAACAATATAAAATATATAATAATAAAAATAATTAGCTTAGTTATATAATTTTTTAAGATTATAAATTATAGAAACTTTTTTTCTTTAAGAATCTTATAGAATTTTAATACAATATGCTTTTAAGTAAGAAGACAAAAATTAAAAATTAGTCTAAATAGAAAATATAATGTTGCTGAAGTTGTTTCTTAAAGATAATATAGTTAGAGTATATAAAAATATTAATTTAAAAGATATAAAGCCTTCTTAAGGAGTGTATAGATGTTGTTAAATTAGTTAATTATTATTTGATATAACAAATTACTTGTAAATACTATTAAAAATAATTAAAGAATATTAGATCTTAATGCTTAGTTTAATAATTTGTAATACCAAAAACAAATTAATTTTAGTAAAAAATTACTAACAAAGCTGCTAAAATGAAAAAATAATAATCAAATAAATTAAATTTTTTTGATAATTAGTTAACTAATAATAGATTATTAAAATAATCTAGAATATTAGTTATAATTAGTAATTAAAATCTAAATTAAAGAGTTTAAATAAAAACTTATAAATAAATTTTAAATATAACAATTGGTAAATAACTATAAATAGAAATAGATATAGCAAATCCTTAAATAGATAATTACTAAAATTGTATATATAATCAATTGTATTAGAAGTTTTTATAAGCAACTGTAATTTATAAAACTAATAAAACCAAAACCAAAAATATTAGCTTTGCATTAAAAAAATTATATTAGTTTTATTTGAAAAGAATTTTGATACAAATAATTATTAAAAAGAGTTAGATATATTATATAAGGATTTTATATTTGGAAAATGAACTAAAACCACCTTCTGATACTTGCTTTCAGGCAAAGGTTTTTTTAGTTCATTCTCCAATTCTCCATATTATGTAAAAGTTGTAATTATCATCATTATTTGTTAAACTATGGTTACTGTCACGACTTATTAGAAAAACAATCTCTTGTACGTAACATATTATCATAATTAAGTTTGACATGAATATCCACCAACCTAAAAATTTCGCGCTAGTGTTGTGTTATGTTAGGGTTTGAGCATTTTTTTTTTACACCTGATTATGGAATTTGGCGTTAGGCTGGTGACGCAGAATACAATTGAATATTAATGGAAGAAAAGATTATGATTGAGATCAGGAATTTTTATTATTGAGATCAGGAATCATGTTCTTGAAACAGATGAAAAAGAATTATTTTTTATAAGGCTTTAAATTCAACATATCATTAATTGCATGCATAGATCAGCAATAGGGACGGTGAAAATTATATTATTTATATTTGAAGGTGCTACAGTACGTATAATAATGACCATCAATAATATCGTTTTTTATGATCAACATTGTGTGTCAAATTCACTCGTGTATTAGATGTGCTAATTATTACGCTATGGGGCAACTTCTAACGCTGATGAATGAAGATCATATTATTAGAATATATATATATTTATCTATATATATATATATAATCATGAATGATGGAATTAATAATCCAACCATATTTAGTCGTCTATAAAAAACAAAAACTTTTAAGAGTTCTTATCAGAATTTTGCACAATCAAGTCAATCTAGATCAATTGCTTTCTTTAATGTGTCATTTGTGAGATAAGTTGGCTTATTTAGGTTCTCCTAAGGGAACTGCACATGATGATGTACAAAATCAACCCAAGTTTTTTTACAAAAAAAATAAAAAACACAATAAAAGTTAATAAAAAGTTAATACTATGATCTTTTTATTCAATTCTAACATTGTTAACGTCATATGACTTATTTTTTTTTGAAGCATTGTTTTCATAGATAATTAAAATAGATAAATTACAAAAGAAGATTGACTGAATAATAGGTAAACTTTCTTATGTTATGATTGTCCTCTAAGAACAGTCAAGACGCACAAATTTGAATGTAACCATGCACAACAAACGAAAAGTTCTTATTCTTGATCCAAGTACTAAAATGCGCCTAGTATTATACAGAGCAAAGTTTAAATGTCTAATTTTACCATTTTAATTTATTGCGATATACTGTATTTAGATTCATGCAAACCTCTCCTCATACAATATAATAGTTTGGATTTAATTACGTACCTATGCATATACACAAACAGATATTGGACGTAAGGGCGTATTTGGCGTTTCTCTAAATACCTAATAGGCGACGAGCATTGAAGAGTTGCAGTAACTACATAAAAATAGGATTAATTTCTGAAATCCTAAAAGAATTTGTTATACGAAACGCGTTTAGTCTTTTCTTTTAATATAAGCAAATCCATGGTCGGTGTCTGGAGATCATATTGCATTTTATACAAAGTGTTGAGATTAAACATCAACCAAAGATATGTAATATGTTTCTCGCCTTGATAACTCTAAAATTGAAAATTTGAATAACTTCATTTTAAATGAGGCTGCAATTTTTGTATGCACAGTTTCACAAAGCAGCGAGCAACTCTAATATGAATATGACTTTTGTTTATTCAGTTGATTTTTTAAGATGAGTCTAGATCTTTGTCCAACATGTGTTAAGTATGATGCACTGTTTGTTTATCTTTTACAATATAATAAATCATCTTAGAAAATCACTATTTTTTGCTTAGTTTGTATCGTCAAAAGCTGTTAGAAAACATCTGCATGCATTGCTGTTCTATTTAAAATTGAATTGTCCAAAATAAGCGTTTTATGGCAAGTAGAGGTCTAGATTTTGTCTGCAGCTAAGCTTTTTTTTATAGTCCAAATTCGTACAAATTCTGATAAAAAATGATTCAAAAATAGAGTATTTGTTGATGGGAATAATTCTTCGGAAAATATCTGTTTTATCCCTATTTGAATTTGTCACTCTCTTTAGTTAATATTTCTTTGATCTTGTAGTTTTTCTTTACATATAGCATATAGCATATAGCAAGCATTTATACTATGAATATAAGTTTACAATTGTAACCCGAAAACATTCTCTTGCTTCTTTTAAATGCTTTTGAATCCTTCGATTTGCTAGACTTATTTACTTCATGTCCGAAAAAAAAAACTCATCCAAGGAACGCATGGACATAATTGATGACCATGAACGTATCAAAGAAATTGCGGAACAAGATACAAATCGTGCTAGAATAATAGGTCTATATAGAAGACTAGGCTCTCTTTTGATAAAGCTTGATTTTTTTGATTTTATCTGATTAGTTTTTTTTTTTTTTTTTTTTAGCATTGGCGGTCAGAGAGGCTTGTTCTATAGCAAATGTAGGGCCTGATCGACAAGATTGGGAGTCTGCATGCCGAATAATTTTAGAAAATAACCTTCTCACAGCCAAAGAAAAAACTACTATTGTCGCTCTGTTAATGTGTAAACCCTTATGTATGTATAATTTAATTTGATTTCGTGATGACCAAAAAACTAATGCCTTATTTTTACATTAATTAGAAATTTTCCGGTCAAGAATCATTAATTTCATTTTACCCGAGATTTCAACAAATTTTATTTTGTATCGTTTTTTTTTTTTTTTATATATTTCAGAAAGACACAAGTAACATTTTATACAATTCTTTGTTGGAACAATTAAGACTAGGAATTATTATTTTTTTTTATGACACTTGAATATTCCTATTTTTTTAAGAAATTGTTTTAGTCTTCCTTCGGTTTGAATTTTTTAAGAATGTCAATTATGCTTTATTTCTGTCGTTTCCGTTTCACTTTAGTTAACCAAGATAAGATATCATGTGACAACGAAATCATACTAAATTGAAAAAATTTTTTAAGCCAATAACAATAAATCGATAATCTAACCTCGGAAAATTCCAATTGTTTTTAAATTGTTTGCGTAACAGCTATAAACTGATAATGTGGTCCAGACCAAATATATGCGTGTGAAGTAACAGGCCAGTGCGTACCACGGGATATCATCATCCGAGTAATGCATCAATTTTTATACACTGGTCCAGACCATCACTCGGTACACTCGGTATGTACTTATCATTGAAAGAAAAAACTTTGCATCAGTAAAAACTGATTGTCCATACTCGTGATTGACACCTGAATAAGAGTTTAAATTCATGTTTTCTCCTGATTTATTTATTGTAGTAAAAAAATGGAATCGGAATCTTTTTAGACTTCAAGTTTTACCATTTTTGATGGATCGTCGGTACCGTTCCATAGAGTGAAATATTTTTTCCCTTTTAATTTGCATATCGTTCCTGATAAGGTTGATTTTATTGCTGATTATTGCCCTATTTGAATTAACACCGAATATATTTTTATCAAAAAATTTGTAATAACGATTCTGTTCTCCCGAAATACTTATAATAAAATAGTCTCTTATATTGAAATGTTATATGGATGCAGTTCTCTGAGATTTAACTGTACGCAACGAGCATCAATTTACTTATAAATAATGCGTACAATCTAAAGTATGTAATACTTTGTATTTATTGTCTTTATTTAACCTTTTTTTGTAAAAAAATATATATATACTAGTATTCATCTATTTTAAAAAACTAATAGGTGCGAAATGCCGAATAAATAATAGTTTATTAGGTATAAATGCCGAATCTAATTCATAAATTTTGAATAGATTACATTGCTAATACCTAATAAGGCATAGTAATGTGTCTGAAGTTATTAAGGCGCAATTGCGCCTTATTAGCATTAGAAACCACCTTTTGTTATAAGGTACATGTGCCTAATCGTTTTATTTAACACTTATATTAATTGGATTTCGTACTACCAATTGCTATTAGGCGTCTTGCACCTTCTAATTTCATAATACAGATTCAATAATTGATCCGGATAAACCATATTTCACGAGGTAACGCCTTAACCCGTTATTTCAAATCCGGGGTTGTTTTCAAATTCCGTGATAACTAATCGCCCAATTCCAATGTCGGACCGACATCAATAAACTCATTCAGTTGGATTGTTTTGGATTTATAAACAGCAGTAAAGAGGTATAATAATATTAGGAAAGGTTATATCTGTCTGATTTTGTCCTTCAAAATAGCACCCAAGATGTTATTTCATAACATTATACTACGTATGTAAATATAGGTTTCGCTATAAAAATTAAAATAGATAAAAGAAAATCCAAAATAACAATATTTTTGTCAATAATTTTAGTTGCTGCAGTTCTGTATGTTTATTTGCTGAAACTTGGAAATTCTAGAACCTTAATAAATATATAGCGATCTACAAATATGTAAGGATACTGCATGCTTCTCCTCCGAACATCAATATTTACTAAAACAAGAAAGTGTATATTATATTAAACAACTTTAATATTGTTATAAAGAATGCTTTTAAAAATATTAACATAGTATCCAAGAACATGTGCTTTAGGTCTATTTGAATATCTGGATAATTTTTTTGAAAATATTTCGGTCTTAATACCAAAATCTATTAGATACCAACTCACTCCGAATATCTATTAGATGAACGGATGATTGATAGCTTTTTTTGGATACGTGACGAATTATTCATTCCGGTTAAACCTACAAAAATAGTAAACTTTTGTTTCTACAATACTTTCTAATTTTTTTTTAAAAAAATAATGTATGGTACAACAATACATTTCTTTATTTAGCCACACTCATTGTTGTACATAGAGGACAACTGGGACAAATCGGAGCGTTGGTGACATTGAAAAAAAAAACGCCAATATCCCTATGATAACCTAATGATAACCTGCTTTAGTCAAAAAAAAAAAAAAAAAATTGTATTCTTGTTAGTGATAAGAATTTCGTCAATTTCGTCACTATAAAAATAATTTCGTCACTTATAATTTCGTCACTTATAATTTCGTCAATTTCGTCATTGCGAAAATAATTTCGTCTCCATCTATAATTATAAGCCAAATAAAATTAAGACTAGAGATGCTCGTGGAATTTGTTTCAACATTAATTTAACCAATAGTGGTGAGATTATTTCACCATTCTAAGTTTACCGCATCCGTAATTAAGACATTGCTGGGGCTGGAACAGCCAACACACACTCTTTATAAGCACGTATTTTCTAATTTCATCTATATAACATATCGTGATTGAGATCATTTAGAATTGGTGACCTCTAAATGTCGCATGATTATATGAGTGACGGCAAGAGAAAAGCTGTAAATCATGCTTTTTAAACATTTATTTTTAAATAATAAAGGCTAAGGAATTGAACATTTAAGATTTAATATCATTTGAATCATCTCATCGAGACAATTCGAAATGATATTAGAATATTGTGTTCAATGAATTTAAGATATTTTTATCAAAAGTAAATGTTTAAAAAGATGATTTACAAGTTTTCTCTTTCCGTCACTCATATATGTCACAAAATTGATTAATACGTTATTAAAAAAATATTGTGATAAATAGCTATGCGATGTCTTAAGAGTTATCTGCTTGGTTATAGAGATACGACCGAAGATACCACATCCTTATTTTATAGATACATAGGATAATATCCAGAATGATATGTTAAAAAAATGTTTGATTTACTAGGTGATTTCAAGTTAATAGTTTATGTATGTGATCATTTAGAATTTTCATTAATGTTAGTTTGAAATTAATAAAATTTTTGATTTCAAAAGATTCCAAATGCTCACGAATTGAGTGACCCGGATAAAATAACCATGCAAGCTAGAATTGTGATTGGCTAACTTTTCATTTTTTTTATTTTTATTTTTTTGAGGAGTTTCTTAATATTTTACACCATCTCGATGTCATGGGACAGCCCTTGGACAAAGTTTGGACATCTTGGACATTTTTAAATATTAAAATTGCTCAAAATTTTATTAAGATAACCTATTTCAACTTTCTAAGTAAAAATGTTTGAATTAACTAAAAATATATAATCATGTTTTTTAAAATAGATTTTTTAATTATCAAAACCTAGATGAGCTTTGGACACTTGGACGTTTGGACGTAAAAAATGCTTTGGACATCAAAAATGTACATCCCTGCCATCTCGTGGGCAGTGGTCTGATCCGATGAATATATATATGTCATAATAATATCCAAAAAAATTTTTTTAATAAATAAAAAAGAACACTTATAACCAAACAGAAACCTGAATCTGAGATACAGGAAATACGAATGAAAAAATCAAATAAGAATTTGGTAATAAACGATATATACTTAACCCGTTTGTAATTTTTAACTCAGTTGAACCGATTTAAGTCGTATGACCTGGTTTATTATAACCTGATTCAACGCTTTATCGTTTGTTTTAAATCTAATAATTAATCGATTAATACACAAAATCTAGTAAAATAATTTTTATATAATATCACATGGGTGCCGTCAAGTGAAAACCAGGAATTCTAAAAATAGACTTCCATCCACAGCGAAGTTGCGGGTTTTTTAATCGGTCAATGTAATAACACCATGTTATTACAAAAAAACCCCGCAACTTCGCTGTGGATGGAAGAACAGGAGGAAACGTTGATGTTACACAACTGATTTTACACACGGGGTGAAACACATAAAAAAATTATTTTACAATACTTGATCGGGCTTGATCAGTCAGCTAGTAC